AAACAAAAGAAAGAAAAATCATGTTGTGAAAACTTTTGAGGATGCAAGAAAGTTTAGAGAAGAGGAAAGATAGAAACAGTACATGCTTAAAGACACAAGGTCACAAGGACACGTTGAGAACACGTCACTGTTGATGTTGCTTTCCTTTTCCGCTTCACCCCTTCCTGTCTCCTCCATTCCTGTGATGTGGATAAGGTGTGGGGGAGGAAGCCTGCGTTAACTGTCATTGTCTGAGCAGCTCACCTGGAGGACAGCAGTGTTGCAGAGGTGTTGGCACCTGTGACGATCCCACCAGGACCCACGGGCCCACCTGCTGCTTCTGCATTCTCAGAACTGTGCCACCCACTTGCCATCTAGATATGTCCATATCCTCCCTCATGCCCCTGCACTCCTGGGCTAAACTGGGCCCTTGTTTCTTTGCACCTGTTTCACTAAGCTAGCTCAGCGGCCTCTTTTCCACAAGATGCCTCCAAAAGAATTAGAAAACTAGATGCCCTCTTAGATTTCTCTCAGAGATCCCTTTATCGCAAGTTGGATTGCTATTAAGAATATCTGCCATTAATCTCTAGTACTTTGCATGTTGCATCAGTAACGATATTTTTTCCACCATCACATAGACTCCAGCTCAGTTCCTCAGTGTGGGGAATGTGGTCCTCGTGGCTGCCAGCACTCGCACTCCCCTGCAGTGCCTGTAGGGACAGCAAGCTCCTGCAGCGTCGGCCCCTCTGAGCCCATCTGAGCCCGTCCTCACAGCATCAGGGGTCCCGCTACCTCCCATGTGGCCCATCTTGCACCCCGTCCTTCTGCTCCTGCCCCCAGCTTTGTAGCTGCCCGAGAGCACTCTGCTTCCTGAGCTTCTTGACTTCAGATGCCAGTGTCATGCAGGGCTCCTCCCCTGATGCCATGGAGTGCCCTTCTTGTGGGCTGCGCTGTCACATCCACTTGCACCCCATGTTCATCTCACAAGACATCTTGGGCAGTTTCTTCCCAGCCACATGGCCATGATGTTATGAATGTATGTTTGTGGGCACATGGGTAGGTTGTATAAGTGTGTTCGCACATGTGAGTGCACAGGGAAGTGTGTAAATGTGCTCTGTAGTCACCCTTACACCAAGGTCCTCGTGGCATTCCTTTCGTGTGCCAGTCAGGCCTGTGAGTCATGGTCCCCCTGGAGCGGCACTGTTTCTGTAAAAGAGCACGGTGTCCTCTAGGCTTCCTGCTGTACATCCTTGTGGCAGCTGCTCAGCTCCACTGCAGCCAAGCACAAGCCTCAGGCAGTGCACAAGCAAGAATCTAAGGCTGACTCCCGTGGACTCCAGGGGTGCCAGGCAGGACTGGCCCACCAGCACTTGAAGCTCTCCAGCCTGGGCTGCAGGGACATCCTGTTGACTGCTTCTCTCACTTTGACTAGGCCCCTTAGACACACCCATTGCTGCAGGGAGTCTGGTGCTTTCCCAGTGTGATAGAACGTCACCTGTGGCCAGCGTGCTGGGAAGCTGGTGAATGGCAGCACAGCCTGGCCTCACCTACCTTCTGCATAGCCTTCCTGTAGGCCACACCATCCTCCTGTGCAGCCCGTCTTCACTGGCCTCCCTCCTGCCCCTCATTCTCACCAGTCCCCATGCATGCTCCCCTACCCCCCCATTCCAAGGCTCTGCTCCTCCTGCTTTCTGGGCCAGTGCATACATGTCCCCAGTGTAGGTCCTTTCCTGCAGGAAGTCTGCCCCCAGGTCTCAGTTTTAAGTCAAGTGCCATTATGTATATCGAGAAAGTATCATCAAAAATTAGTAAAGGCCAGGCGTGGTGGCACATGTCTGTAATCCCAGTAGCTCAGGAGGCTGAGGAAGGAGGATTGTGAGTTCAAAGCCAGCCTCAGCAACTTGGTGAGGCCCTAAGCAACTCAGCAAGATCTTGTCTGTAAGTAAAATATAAAAAGAGGGCTGGGGATGTTGCTCGGTGGTTGAATGCCCCTAGGTTCAATTCCTGGTACCAGAAAAATAAATAAATAAAGTAAAAAATAAAGGAGTGAGAGGAAGATCAGTAGAGCAGAAGAGGGAGAATAGGAGAAAGAAAGGCGAAGAGGTGGTGAGGTGGAGTTGAGACCTGATTCCTGGCATGTGTGATCCTATCAGGTGCACCCCCCACTGTGTATACCTTAATGCTCTCAGGAGAATTAACACCCAGGCCTTCACGTCAACACCAGGAGTTATCCATGGTAAGGGACACCCATGGGAAGTGGGTCTAAGTATCAGATTCACAGAACTGTCCCAGAAGATTATCTCTGAGATTAAATCAGAGCAAATTAAGGAAAATAAGAAGTATAATACACAAGCTGAATATTTCCCTATGTTCCTAGGGGAAAAAAAAAACAATCAAGTGTCACTAACAGACAAGGCCAGAACGCTGACCTGGGGGTACACAACCAGCGGCCCAGGGTGTGGGATCTATCAGACACAGACGCAGAGCGGGCTCAGACTTGACAGATCTCTCCCTCTCTCTCCTTCACATTTGCAATGCAAAGAGAATATGCACAGCCACTTGTATTACATAAAGTGATTATTGCATAGAAATTTAGACTAGAGACAGCATTTGGAAAGCATTTTAGTAAATTATCTTAACCAGTCTAAAAATACTCGTGAGCTGTCAACCAGAACATGGAAGTCCTGCATTACTTGAGTGCTCTGCTGTAATTGGGACACTTGGGAGGAACGCAGCCCCGACTTCCTCTGCACAGTTGACCAGTGGTTCTGCCTGGTTCCCCAGGCTGCGGGTGCTCTGAGGAAGCCGCAGCCTCTGGTGCAGGTGACTTCACATGTGCAGCAGCGGCTTTAGTCACAGAGAGCCTGGCAGCATGTGTGCTTGGCAGTCCCCTCGTGGAAAAAAGAAAACCAGTAGACACACCCTGAGGCCCTTGTTGAGTCGTCCGCTTGATGTCTGCACCCTGCTGGCTGGTGGCACAGTGTGGCTGGGGCCCACCCTCAGGTGCAAGGAGCCAGGAGAGGAGGAAGCTTACCAGAGAAAACATGAAGGTACACCCATCCACGAGCAACCAGCACCCTGACATCACACATGGCACTATGAGCACCCAGAGCGATGGCACGCTCCCTCACTGCTGGCAGGAAGGCCAGTGGGACCGTCACCTTGGAAAGCAGTGTTCTGATGGCTCGCCCAGCAAGGAAACTGCTGTGTTACCTGCTGGGTGCTTTACCTGTAAAGTTAAGTGCTTACATCCACGTAGAACCTGCCTGTGGACGTTGTTTGACTCATGGCTGCCCAAAATGAAAGGCAGCCCAGAGGCCCTTCAGTAGGTGAGTGCAGGGAATGCTGTTCAGCACAGGAAATGAGGGCTTGCTTCAGGTCATAGCGGGTCAGTAGCAGCCCAGGCAGTCTTGAGGTTCCAGCCCCATGCCACTTGTTTTCCTCATAAACACAGTCTGGCGAGGTGTGCGCACACCCTCACACCCTCACCCACATGAGACAGCAAGAAGAGGTCCTCCACAGAGAGTGCTGGGCCTTGCTGACAGCCTTGAGAAAGACACCCACACCAAGGGAGGGCATCCTGGATGTGTGGGAGAGCGTGGGACTTCTCACTGCTCTTCACCTGGGCAGCGAGCTTTCTGCCTGGCACTGCACTTGGTGTTTGGCACATGCTGACATCCTGAGGTAGGGCCGATGGCCTCAGCTTCTAAACTCAGCAGACCCTGATCCCACAAGGTCCAGCAGCCCCCTCAGCCCTTAGCAGAGGCTCCTCTCCTGGCAGGAATCTCAAGAAAGGACTGCAACAGCACTTCAGTGGAGAGAGCTTTCATTTCAGAGCCCCCGCTCTGCGTCCGGCACCTGGAGCTCTGCCTGCCAGCCAGCAGGTGCACGCGTGAGCTAGTGGGTGGAAAGGCTGTGCCACATGTGCTGGCATATGTATTGCTAACTCCCTGGCTTCCTTGGTGTCTGATTGCCCCTGGGATGAGTATGGAACCTCCTGCATGGCCCGGCATTTTTAGGCTCCTCTTCACTCTCTGTCTGTGCCCCGGCCACCCTGGATTCATTTTTGCTCTAGCCCACTCTGTCCTTTGAGGCTGCCTCTGCCTGGAGGGTCCTTGGCTCCCTTTTGACCTGTTTCCCACTCATCCTGCCCACCGCCTTCCCCTTCCTCCACCCAGCCTGTACCCCCACCTGCCGCCCACACCCTGAACTGCCTCCCTGGTTACCTCCTCAGCTACACATGCACTCACCACTGTTGCCTGCTTGTGGGTGCTGCTGGGAGCAAACCGCTCACAGCCTGTTTGTCGGCCGGGTGCTAGGTGAGCGTGTGCTTGTGCAATGCCTGTTCCAGGCTTGTCAGAAGCGTGAAGTGTTCCCTCCCACAGTGTCTCACTCAGTTGCCTAGCAGCCTTCCTTTCTCTATTGGATGGGGAAGAAATGTTTTGAGCCCAAAAATGAACCCATATGTGGAGGTTGGCAGCCTTCTTAACCTTCCCAATGCCCCAGTTGCAGCAGAAGAGGCACCAGAAAGTAGGCTGTATGGATGGGTGGGCCATGGTGTGCTGCCTTAGCATGATGCGTTGACTATATTCATGTTGGTAAAAAAGAGCGTGGAACACATGAAGCCCCTAGTTTTATGATCCATGTACATCATATAGATAGCAATAAATATATCCAGTGCTTAATATAATATCAAATTATTATATTGATATTGACAGAAATCACAGGTAGAGCCATCTTGCTAAAAAGGAAACCAGTCCTACAGGTTGGGGGTCTGGGAGAGCTATCCAGGTAGGCTTCTCCCTGTGTTTTGTCAGTAACTTGCAAAGTTTTGTCATGAGTCATCTGGAACAGCACCTCACAATGGCCCTCCTGTTGCTAATCGTGTGCAAGGTTGGCGGTGGCACTGTCCACGTGCTGGCCAGGCAGCCGACCTTGCCCCATTATCAGTGCCTGTACAGAACTGCTTCCAGCAAGCCCACAGTGTGCCTTTGGTTCACAAATCCTATTGTGACTTACAGAGCTGCAGAAACTGGAGAGCAGCAGTCGACCTGTGTGGACGCCTTCTCACAGCCCATGGCCAAGGCTACGGCAAGAGTGGGCTGCCCACCAGCCACACAGCGGACTCGCTACAGGTGAGAGCACCTCCACCACTAGGTCGCTGTGTTGTATTCCGCTTGGCATGGTTTGAGGACATAGGAAAGCCCATGGGCTCTCATGCCAGGCAGAGCAATTTGGGAACAAGACAGGGATTTTCGTTTTCTGAGCTTAATCTCTGCATGAGATGACTCATGTTCTTCCTTCCCTGGTGGTCTGTGTGTATTGATTCTGCCATGTGGCCCTGCTGTGCAGTGCCTCTGCTGCCTAGAGGCCTGGTGAGGGTGCTCTGCCCTCGCTCTCCTGGCAGACCAGGCCTGGCCTGAGGTGGGCAGGGGGCTTCCTACTGTGATGGAAACCAAGTGGCTCTGAAGGGTTCCCGAGGTGGGGAGTGGGCTCCACAGGCTGTGTGCTCGACCTGGAGCCAGCGTCCCTGCTCCGACTAGGGAGAAGGTGGAAAGAATGTCCAGGATGGAGCTGTGGCTGGAAGGGAGGTCCCCAGTCAAGAAGGAGCCTTCAGGTGCTCCAGTTCCCCCCTGCAGCACTGCGGCTTGAACCCAGAGGAGCTTTAACGCCCAGTGAAGCCATTCCCAGCCCTTTTATTTAAAAAATATAATCTCTTATATGCTTGGAAATAGATAAGAGAATAGAGTTTGTATTCTCAAAACACAAATATAAAATACTGTGCACAAGTACTTATACAATACATTATCATCAGCCATCCTCAGCCCTTTTTATTTTTTATTTTGAGACAACGTCTCACTAAGTTGCTTAGGGCCTCACTAAATTACTGAACCCTCAAATTTGTGATCTTCCTTCCTCAGCATCCTGAGTTGCTGGGATCACAGGACTGTGCCACCATGCCTGGCTGGGAGATTTCAGCTTTAATCCTAACTTTCTTGGGGCTCCCCAGAACTGAGATTATCACCAGATATTCCAAAGCTGTAACAAGCTTAGGAGAGCAGTAACTGGGGAAGCTGGTGGCCCAGATCCTGCAGGTGGGCTCCTCCCTCCTGGATCTCCCCAGGAGCCCGCAGGCATGGGCTGCACAGGACAAGCAAGGCCACCTCGGGTGCCCTTGCACCTCCTCACCCCTTTTGGCCCCTCCTCGCCAGCCCAGTCGCCGGCTCTTCCCTCCATGTCTCACCCCTGGCACCACCAGCACAGCCCCTCACTGGAAGGGTGCCTTGGCCCCTGCACTCGCCAGAGTGATCTGAAAGCACATGTAGATGGTCTCACCTTCCTGCTCACAAGCTGTAAGCACTTCCTGCCGCCCCAGGTTAGACAAGCCTCATCATCCTGCAGGCAGCTCCGAGCCTGCAGGCAGAGTAGAACAGTTACTGTGCTTGCTGTAGACCCTGGGCAGTTGCTTCCTAAGACCTCATTCCTTGGTTTTTAAAGCTTATTTCAGAAAAAGTATATTTAGCTATTTATTTTTAATTGATTTTAAAAAATTGATATATTTAGGATGAATTACCTGCTGTTTTAACATATTCATTGTGGAATGCCCAAGTCAACCTAATTAACATATCCATTATCTCATACATGTGTTTGTGTTTTGAGAACATAATCTACACTCTTACAACACATTGTTATCAAGTGGAGTCCCCATGTTCTGTTACAGACTTAGCTCTTACTCCTAACTATCCTTTGACAACGTCCCTCATTCCCCATTCCAGCCTTTGGTGAATAGCATCCTACTCTGCTTCTATGAATTTAAGTTTAACTTCCACAAACAGATCACACAGTATTTTTCTTCCTATGCCTGGCTTACTTTACTTGACATAATGTCTTCCAGATTTGTGTATAATTGTCACAAGTAGCAGAATTACCTTTTTTTTTAACTTCAGTAATATTCCATGGAATACATATACCCTAATTCCTTTATTCACTCATCCACTGACAGACACTGAACCTCATTTTTCTTGTCAGTGAACAGAGAACCACTTGGGTCATCTCCAGGGTTCTTTTAGTTCTGCAATCTGCCTCTGTGGCTCTATAATTCAGACCCCACCATTTTCCTACATGTGTCTCCATTCTGCCACCCTAGAGCTCGCTATGCTCGCCTGCATCTGGTACTGTCCACTCTGAGGCCATGGTCACACTGTCCTCCGCAGGCCCCTCCCCATCCTGTGGCCTTGAAGTCCTGGTCCTTCAGTGCTGCCCTCAGCATACCTGTTTATCCACATCATGCCCCTCCCCACCATCCCCACCCTACCACTCGGCATCCTCCTCTGGGAGGGTCTGTGCTTTCATCTCCTGACACCTAGTGTGGTGCTTAGCATATGAGCCCTGCTCAAAAAGCTTGTTAGAGTAATCAAATCTGGTAAAATCGTTTACACTAATGTTAGTGAACTCAGGAGTATTTCTATAAACTGTAAGTATTCAAATTGCAAAGGTAGGAAGTTAGCCCTTGTTTTGATACATTAGAAAACAAGCTCTGATAGCAGGTTAATAAGGAAGAGGACTTTGTGAACTTGATGTGTGAACATAACCTGTTGGTCCATCGTGTCTTGCGTTTTAGCTCTGGTTCGTGAGATTGGCCCTGCTCGTGAAGTTAGGCCTTTTCCAGAATGCCGAAATGGAGTTCGAGCCCTTTGGAAGTCTGGACCAGCCCGACCTGTACTACGAGTACTACCCACACGTGTACCCTGGGCGCAGGGGTAAGATGGTGCACTTGATGTTAGTGCCTTTTCGCATACTTCACTCTGCTTGGCTGTGCATAATTGGGTATCCTCCCTTTGCCTGTTCTGCCAGACCTGAAGAGTCAAAGCAATAGCCCAGCCATAAGCCTGAGCCTACAAAGTGATCTCAGCCAGTGTTATAAACACACCAACCTAGACAGAACACACCAGTGCGTCCTCGGGTCACTCAGGAGCCATCTGTTGCACCTGCTAGGACCCTGCAGCATGACTGGGTGTTAGGATTGTAAACATTCTCTGCTGCTCTCCACAGGAAAAGCCGATATCCCGTGGCCTGGTGCTGCATGTGCCTCACTGCCAATGAAGCAAGGCCCATCTTTTCCACTGGGAGCTTGCTCTGTTTTCCCCTAGTCTCTATTCCTGGCTTGTTTGTTTGTTTTTAATTAAAAAATTCTTCGTTGCTGTAATTGGACATTTAAACCCTTCCACACCACTAGCAGGAACATACACGGCATACCAACTTTAAAGCCATTTAGCAATTTCCTGAAGGTTCAACAAACACTTGCCATGCAACTTAGCACCGCCACTGTGCCACTTGTCTGGCTACCAGCAGCCTGTGGGCAGGGCCCATCTATTCCTGTTTATTTTAAAGCTCTGGTGCTGGTGCCATTCCATGGAGAGATCCCAGGAAGGACCCTTGTTTGAAAAGTAGCTTAGTCTGGAAGAAGGAAAAGGGAGCTTCAGGGAGCCAGTGTCCTCAAAGTGGGGCCTCCCAGAGGGACCCTGCATCCCCAGCACACCCGATGACCTTCCTGGGAATGTGCTTGCTGCGAGCAGCAGGAGCAGTGACGGGAGGCTAGGCAGTCTGGAAGGTGCCATCATGGGGAACCAGGCCTTACAGTCCTCTCCCTGTGGCCCACAGTTCTCTTTCTCTGCAGGTAGGTCCCATGTGCACCTGCCCTGAAGCTCGTCCATTCCATGTCTAATTTCCACTACTCCTCCCTGCCCTCACAGAGCAACAGCCATCTCTGGGGTTCTAGGACACTGTCCCAGCATGGGACTTGATTGGCCTCCCCGGTGCTGCCTTCTTTCTTTCTCATTCACACCCTCTAACCATTTGAGGCTCATCTTTAACTATAGGGTGATTGCAAACTGCCAGCCCAAAAGAGGAATGAGCCTTTGTCCCATTGAGTGGTTGTGACAGAAAATGAGCCTTAGTCCCGTGGAGTGGTTGTGACAGGTGGTGCTGGAACGCTTAAGGGCAGGGCTACATGGGAAAGTGGCGCTGTTCCTCTAGAGTGGGCCTTGCCTGCAGTGCTGCCAGCGGGCAGCGGTTCTGCCTTTTCTCAGGAGGAACATCTGTTTTCCTTCAGCGATGAAAAAACTTTGTCTCCAGTCTTTCTGGCTGCTCCCAGCCCTGTCCCTGCCCACTCCTCTGCTTCTCTGTGCCTTGCTGGGAGTTGGCAGCTGGTTTCGATGGTGATTTGTCTGCTACCAACCAAGCTCAGAGCTTAGAGCATGCAGACCCCCTTTACGGTGCTGAGCTCCAAGGCACCCTAATGCTGCTGCTGCAAGAAGTCTGGGCTCTTGTCCTTCAGGCCCAGTGATGTAGGTTCACAGCAACTGCTTACATCAGCTGCCCGAGCCCAGGACAGGTTAAGAGGAGTGGACAGACTCCCTGGGAGGTCTACCCCCACTGTCGGCAGCCCTGCTTCCTGAGTGCCCGGGGTTACCTGGGTGCTCTCTTCTGCGTCCTGAGAAGGGTTGTACTCTTGGCTGTCTTCACAGAGCACTTGGGGGAAGGGACAGGGCTTCCCATGAGAAAAGCCTCTCACTGAGGCCATTCTGTCCCAGGATGTGCAGCCTCGGGGCCACTTCCCACTCGGCTGGGGTTGGACTGCTGAGGGTGTGGATAAGGAGAAGCCAGTGACTATGCATCACAAAGCAGCTGATTCCAGTTCCAAAGGAGAAATATGTCACTTGAGCTAACGTGTATTAACATTCATCCACAGTATTACATGGAATGCTTACTAATTTTTCTTTTCATTTGCTGGAGTACCAAGCATAAATGTAAGTATTTGATTCATTCATTTCATTTTAGCTTGCAATATATAAGCAAAGTGAGTCATTAAAATGTGCTTTAAAAAGGAGATTATAGCAATACAAACAAATAAATAACCTTTATGAATGAGCTTTAATATATTTCATTTAAATATTGGACTAATTTTTAGTCATTCAGAACATTCATAAAAAGACATGTGATGAATCATGTGTAAAAATCATGAAGTCGTTGTTTTCACCTAAGAAAGGAACAGTATTTCTGACATTTCCATCAGTCACACTCCGTCCCTTGAAACACAGTTAGATTTTTCCTGGCTCCGAGCACTGATGTCTGACCTGCCATCTGGAAGAGTCATGAGGACATGAGGCAGGCCAGCTTCAGAGCCCAGGGCTGAGGTCTGGAGGTTTGGGGGACCCGAGAGCCACAGGATGTGAGGGCCGCCTGGCCTGGTGCTCTGCCAGCTGCCCTGTCCTCTCCTTTCCCTTTTTCACTCTCTACCCCTTTCTTCTGGTTCTGCTCTTTACTGTCCTCGTGGATCATGCTCTCATGCTGCCTGCATGTCCCCAGGGCTCAGAACCATGTGTCGACCCAGAGCAGCTATTCACAGTGCACATGCTCTTTGCCAGATGGGACACAGCAGTTAGGAGGCCGTGCAAATCCCACTGTGTGCATCTGCTGGGTCCCCACCGTGCCCCCTAAAGATAGTACAGTTTCAGTTACTCAGACCTGACTCACCTACACTCCAGTCTGTGACCATCATGTGGTTCAGGAAGGTCCATGCAGGGGCATTGGCCATGCAGGTAGAGGATGTCAAAACCAGAAAAAAAAAAAAAAAAAACAGTTTAGATTAACTTGCTGTGAGCCACTCTCATCTCAAGAAACTGGACTTGAGCTGCACAGTGATCCCACGAGCCATGTTCTGGGGGCAGAAGAGCAGACAGGTGTTCCTTGGCTGTCTTCCTGTCACTGACCTTGGACTCCAGAAGGGGCCCTTGAGAGTCTTCTTGTGGTGCACATAGTTCTACCCAATGTGCCTGCACCCTGCTCCCCGCAATGCTTGTGCCCAAGTCTGCTTGACTGCAATGGCGTTTTCAGTAAAAGCCATTTACTTTCATTCTATTCCACCCCTTAGGTCCCTTTGAGAAGCCCTGTTTGGGGGTATCCCCTATCTGAATTCACTCTATATTCAACAACATTTGAAACTTTCTAAAATGTAAACATTAAACAAAGACACTAGCTCTTTCATGATTGCTCCAGACTTCATCTTTCTTGTACTTGATGTCCTCTTAGTTGGACCGGATGTACTTTGTGTTGACAAACAGTAAGTTTTAGAAGGGCATTGTAGGGCTTCTGTGACCTTGTTCCTCCTAAATGTTTTCCTATGGTCTTAAGGTTTTTTGGGAGGGTGGGGGTACTGGGGATTGAACTCGGGGGCACTCAACCACTGAGCCACATCTCCAGCTCCCCCCACCTTTTTTTGTAATTTATTTAGAGAGAGGGTCTCACTGAGTTGCTTAGCACCTTGATTTTGCTGAGGCTGGCTTCAAACTCGGGATTCTCCTGTCTCAGCCTCCTAAGCTGGGATCATCACGCCCAGCCAGTCTTAAGATTCTTAACCAAGCATTTTTCTTCATGCATTTTTTTTCAACAATGAGAGTGTTTAGGGAAGGGTTTCTTTGCAGGGAGCGAGTGACCCAGCTTCCCTGTCCTGTGTGGTTCCAAACCATCAGCACCACTCCAAGGCTCTCCAGGAAGCCTTTGGAAGCCGTTTGCAGAGGAGACTTCTTGGTTAACCTCTGGTGGACTCCACCCAGCCTCTAATCACTTATACTTTGTTCTAGTCAGCTTTTGTGTCTCTGTGACCAAAAGACCTAACAAGAACTACTTAGAGGAAGGAAGGTTTATTTGGGCTCATGGTCCAGAGTTTTTCTGTAAAAACGGATGTACCCATTGGCATACCATCCTTGAGCCTCTCCCCATTCACCCCCCCGAAAGCCATCACAACCATGAGCCTGTCACATATCCTTCCTGATCATGTCTTTGCATGTCCACTCCGCACGTGCATGTGTGGACACAGAGATCCAAACACGTGTAGAGAGCGAGCAAGAGTGTGTGCCTCTATGTGTGAGATTTGCTTTTTAAATACTCATCATGAGCGTGTTGTCTTAGTTTTGCTTTTTTCCCAGTCAGCATATCCATGCACTTCCACAGCCGCCCCGCGCACATTAGGGTCTTTCCAAAAGACTGAGCACCCTGCCTCTGAGTTTCTGAGGTCTAAATAGCCACAGCCTTGTCTCCAAGCAGCAGGTTGTCTCCAGGGCCACTCTCCACCTGCACAGCAGTGCATGAGGGCTGTGACCACTGCCAGGGCGTGCAGTACCCCTGCTGAACTGACCACAGCCAGGGCAGCCCCGCATCCTCGGGCTCTTGTCCTCAGGCTCACTCTTAATGCCTCCGTCGTTAGTTGAGGTTTATTTCTGTATTCTAGGTATTTGATCCTTTGTCACATATTTTAGGAGTATCTCCTCCTATTCTGGAAAAATCTTATTTCTAAACCTGAGAAAAGAGAATCTGATTTAAATTCATCAAGATAACATCTTTTATTTGTAGTTAGCACATTTTAGGGAGCTCCTGCCACATAGGTTTGTGCCAGGAGCAAATGCAGACAGATTCTGCGCTGGCCTGGGCCTGGGCCAGGTCCTGAGACACAGGACCAGAGACGTTGCCAGACACACCCCAGGACTGCCCTGTACTTTGGCCTAGTTCATCTGCAGGCATGGGCACTGTGTGGGGAGCATGAGTGGTGCGTCCTCCCCAGGGACACAGCACCTGGGGGGCCACACAGAAACCCCTATGCTCACCTGCATAGGTGTGCCTTCCCAGCATGCTGTGGCTCTCTAATGGGAGTGAAGTGGACACAGAGGTCATCACATTTCATGATTCCAGACACATTAGCTGAATTAGGCATTAGATGGTAAGTACTTGCTGTAGGATTTTTTTCTCTTACAACTTTCTCAGTAGGTTTTTCCTACTTAGAACTACAGCCCCGAGTTGAAGGTGACTTCTGGGTTGTGAGTGTGGCACTCTTGTTGGATGGACACACTCACAGTGCGTTTCCCTGCCGAGTGTAGCCAAAGGAGGGAAGCTGAAGGCACAGCTTTCCCTGGTATGCCCACCAGCCCAGTGGGGAGGAGATGGAGACAGGGAAGGCAGCACTGAGCAGTGGCCCATTCAGACTCCTGAGGTGGTGCCAGAGCTGACCTGCCACAGCTGGGCAAAGAGTTCAATGGGCTCCTTGCATGTGCCAGCCCGCAGTGGTGCCAAGTGCTGTGGGTTGGCGTCTGTCCAGCCACTCTGCAACCTCCTGTCCTTGTCGCAGAGAGGATGCAACTGTCCAGCGTAGACAGCTGGTGAGGGAGGGGCTCCACACTGCTGGCCGCCCTGCCACCCAACCATGGCCCCTCGAATCCGCAGACTTCCCCTCTCCCTGCCCACCATGGCCTGGCTGAGTTCTGTGCATTTCCTCTAGCTTTCTGCAGCAGCAGCATGGGTTTAGAGTACTGCAGGGGATGGTCTGAAAAAAATTTTGACGGAGTATTTTCATTTAATGGTTTCTAAATGACTAACAAGAATGTTTCTACCATATTTATACCAACTTCACTTTTGACAGGTCAAGACTAGATGTGAGAATCTTTCACAAACAGATCCATGGAATCAAGTTTCCTTGGAGATTCTGACTGGCCTTTTCCTACCCGAGCACATTTCCTTGCAGGAGAGAGGCAGGCCCGAGGGTTGGTGTGGCAGCCTCACATACGTATGTCACTTGACAGCCACCCTTAGCATGAAGGATATCGCTGAGACTTCCAGTAGCTTTTCAGTGACAGGCAGGCCCAGCATCAGGGTGAAGGGACTGTTGTGTGCATTTCCTGTAATAAAGGTCTGGTGACATGGCAGCAGTGACCTGTGCTTGCTATCACAGAGGTGGTGGTGGGTTGTGTCCAGGGCCTGGCGTGTGTTTGCCCTCAGAGCAGGACAGAGGCGTGTCTGCTTTCCGCACAGATCCACCTGTCCACTGGAGCTGAGAGGCAGGCTCCAGCTGCTGTGCTCTGGTCTAACTCTGTGACCACATCTTCTCCTAGAAGGGGTGTTCCCTTCTGTTTGTTCCCTTCGCTCTTCTCCTTCTGTTGGCCTCTGTCCATCCTTCAAGATGTCACCTGTGTGAGGCATGCGGTCCTCCCTGCCTCCGTCTCAGGGGTGTTGGCAGGTGGTGAGGGGCTGGCACAGGAGGATGTCTGGTCACACAAAATGGGGACAGTGTGTGGGAACAGTGCTCCTGATGAGGATATGCCATCCCCTTCCTGCCACAGAAGAGCCCCAGCCCTGGGGCTGCATTTCTGTCAAGACCAGTGGCTGAAGCCTGAGTGGGGCGTGGTCACCATGCATGGAACGAGGGTGCCAGAGGTTCTGTGGAGGGACACTGACATTTTTAAAACAACATGTTAAATATTTTATTTTCAAAAACATGTTAAGATTTAAATCTAGTGATTGGTGCTCTGTCTGATGTGTGAAGGGTAAAGATCTGCTCCCAGGATGTAGGCTCTCTGTTCACCTCACAGATTGTTTCCTTTGCTGAGAAGAAGCTTTTTAGGTTGAGTCTATCCCATTTATTGATTCTTGATGTTAATTCTTGTGCCTCAAGAATTTTATTAAGGAAGCTGGGGCCTAGTCCCACATGATGGAGATTAGGGCCTACTTTTTCTTCTATGAAACGCAGGGTCTCTGGTTGTATTCCTAAGTCCTTAATCCATTTTGAGTTGAGTTTTGTGCATGGTGAGAGATAGAGGTTTAATCTCATTTTGTTGCACATGGATTTCCAGTTTTCCCAGCACCAATTGTGGAAGAGGCTATCTTTTCTTCAGTGCATGTTTTTGTCACCTTTGTCTAATAAAAGATAATTGTAGTTGTGTGGATTAGTCTCTGTGTCCTCTATTCTGTACCACTGCTCTACCAGCCTGTTTCGGTGCCAATACCATGCTGTTTTGTTACTATTGCTCTGTGGTGTAGTTTAATGTCTGGTATAGTGATGCCACCTGCTTCACTCTTCCTTGTAGGGATTTCTTTATCTATTCTGGGTCTCTTATTTTTTCAGATGAATTTCATGATTGCTTTTTCTAATTCTATGAGGAATGCCTCTGGAATTTGATCAGAATTGCATTCAATCTGTATAGTGCACTTGGAAATATGGTCATTTTGATAATATTAATTCTGCCTATCCAAGAGCAAGGAAGATCTTTCCATCTTCAGAACTCAAAAAGCTAAACACCAAAAAATAAATAAATAAATAAAAATAACCTAATCAATAAATGGGCCAAGGACCTGAAAAGACACTTCTCAAAATATGATGTACCATCAATTAACAAATACATGAAAAAAATGTTCATCATCACTAGCAATTGGAGAAATGCAAATCAAAACCACCCTAAGATTTCAGCTCACTCTAGTCAGAATGGCAGCTATTATGTATATAAACAACAATAAGATTTAGCAAGGATGTGGTGGAAAAGGTACACTCATACACTGATGGTGGGACTGCAAATTGGTGCATGCAATATGGAAAGCAGTATGGAGATTTCTTGGAAAATTGGGAATGGAACCACCATTTGACCCAGCTATCCCTTCTCCTTGGTCTATACCCAAAGGACTTAAAAACAGCACACTGTAGGGACCCAGCCATATCAATGTTTATAACAGCACAATTCACAATGGCCAAGCTATGGAACCAACCAGGGTAGATGGGATTTTACCATGTACACAATGGAATATTACTCAGCCATAAAGAAGAATGAAATTATGGCATTTGCTGATAAATGGATGGACCTGGAGACTATCAGGCTAAGTGAAATAAGCCAGACCCAGAAAGTCACAAGTTGCATGTTCTCTGTGACATGCAGAAGCTAGTCCAAAATAAAGGGACAGGGAAAGAGAAAGAAAGGGAAAAGTGGTGATTCCATAAAAATAGAAGAAAGCCTGGTGAACTAGATGAAGGGGGAAGAGGGGATAGGGGAAGGGAAAGCAGGAATAGTGCTGGCTAACTCCTGCGTGTGTGTATGAATATACCACAGCCGATTGCACCATCAGGAGCATCCTCCAGACACTAACTAAAAAAAAGTAAGAAGGAGAAAGAGCAGTAGAATAGAGGAGAGTAGAAGGACTGGGATTGAATTAGAGGAAATCATATTCCATATTTTTCTAATTATGTCACAATGAATCCTAATGTTATGTAAGCTAAAAAGAAACAATAAAAATATTAAAAAGAGTATTTTGAGACAACGTTTTGCCAAGATTCCCAGCCTGACGCCACACTGGCAGTTCTGCTCCCCGGGCCTCCCAAGGGGCTCACCCAGCCCTGGGCAGCCTTCATTTGATGGCCGAGCACCTGGCTGTCACGCTGTCTCTCCCTGGAGGAAGCGGGGCTCTCCTGCTGTCTGCATGTTGCCTGGCCTCTCCATGGGATAGTGGCAGAGCCTCTCTCCATTGGTGGTTATCTAGAGATACTTAGTTCCTGCTTTCCAGAAAAAAACAGCACATGCCCAGATGACCTTGAAAATCAAAGGGGCTGGGTCCCCCCTGCTGCTGGGCCACTTGGTGCCTCCTTCACGGACACCACTCTGGAAGCATGCGAGTCACAGCAGCAGACTAACCAGCTTTAATTTCACTTGTAGGCTCCATGGTCCCCTTTTCTATGCGTATCCTGCATGCAGAGCTGCAGCAGTACCTGGGCAATCCGCAGGAATCCCTGGACAGACTGCACAGGATCAAGACCGTCTGCAGCAAGGTAACCACGCCTGTCCCCAGCCTCTCCCCACCTGTGCCATGCCATCCTGCACTTGTTCCTCCCGCTGACACCAACACCACTTCCTTTCTCAGAACCAAGTCATCATCCATGGATATGGCCATGGTATCTGTTGGTCTGGCCAGAGTGGCTTCAGGGGTGAAGGATGGTTGTTGGAAGAGCCTGAGTGCTGAGCTTTCCCTTCCTCAGTACTCTCAATAAGTGAAGCTGGGTGCTGAGCTTCCCCTGTCTCAGTATTCTGAGTAAATGAAAGCAGAAACACTTACCTAAGTGGAAGTAATACATGAGCACCCGCCTGACTGCCCTCTGACAGGCCTCCGTGTGCCAGAGCACACATGCGCCCACACGTGTCACAAGCACCTGCACCATGCCAGGCAGGAGACCTCAGCAGCACTGAAACACAGCCCTCTGGCACACTGATGCCGGGGCCCAGGAGCTGTGGGTGCTTGCTGAGAGACCCCTGGTTGTGACAGTGATTATGCAAAGACAGCTTGCCATCCGTCGCGTCCGCCGATCAGACTCAGGCTAAGAAATGTTAGGAAGAAAGGTGGGGTTTCTAATCTTCACTGTTTCCAGTGGGCAGCCATGAGGCTCCTTCTGCAGGTGAGGAATGGCGTCTCCTCGCCGTGCCCCTTGCAGGCCAGGGGAGCCATTGGGTGGAAGTGCTTAAAAACCACAATAACAAGCAGCTGCTAGGAGCAAAAGCATGGTACAGCCAGCTCCCCTGTGGGAGTTCTGTGAGCCCCAGGGCTGTCAGCACCCAGCAGGGAGGTGAGCCTGCCCCTGCTGTGCCGGAGGGTCTTCTGCAGGGCAGCATGGAATTCAGGCCCTCCTGCCCACAGGCTCGCATCTGCTCCCACTTTTTCATAACATAACTGAAAAAATAAAAAGAACTGTGCTGCTTTCCTGTCCTTGACCAGTTGATGAAATTGCTTTTTTAACTTTTTTACATGATAACACTTTTCTTGAATCTTAAAACACAGTTAAAATATATTTATTTCCAGAATTAGGAACTGCATAACTTGATACTGAGAAATTCTAGATCAATAACTCTCTAAGCTATACTGTTTTTCTTTCACCTCCGTGTCAGATTGTTGCAGGAAGATTTTTTACAATTTGGGAGAGAAAACTGAGGCACTGGGTGATTACAGAGTGAAAAAGTTAAGAGAGTAAAGTAGTTTTGTGAGCCAGCACTCTGGTCCTTACGTGCTCGAGGTCCCCCCAGGCCCCACTTACTAAGGACTAGCCGCAGCCCTTGCCTCAGGCTGCAGAGCAACTGGCACATGGTCAGAGAGGGGTCCTCCGCTCTCTGTTCTGGACACTTGTCCTCTTTCTTCTTGACAGGCAGGTACATGGAGCTCGGGATGAGCCCTCCACCTTTCCTGAGCCACATATTAACTCAGCAATCCTTGAGCAACCCATGAAGCAGGGGTTGCAGTGTCGAAGGGAACTGCCTGACTGAGGAGCAGCAAGTAGCACTCAGACAGGAGAACTCCAAACTTTATTTGATGCTGGTGGGCCCAGAGAAAAACAAAAACTCCAAATTCTGAGCCCTGATCCCTAGTGTCTCACAACATTTAGAGGTTATTTGATGTCATCTTAGATCCATCTTATCATTGGGGCTTTTTTCTTTTTAAAAAAGAAAAACCTAGGGCTGGGGTGGTGGCTCAGTGGCAGAGCGCTTGCCTAGCATGTGTGAGGCACTGGGTTCAAGTCTCAGCACCACATACAAATAAATAAATAAAGGTCCATCAACAACTAAAAAATGTTTTTAAAAAATATTCCTCATCTGTGTGGCTGAGGGCCTTGTGCAGGGTCTCTAACATGGAGCATGCTCATGGAAACAGATAAGAAACGGCTCTTTTCAAGGTATCTGTTACTTTTCAAGAGGGAGTGGTCAGACTCTTAGGGCAGTTACTTACCATCCAAAAGGTCGAGACCCGTGGTTAATTAGGCTTCCTGGAGAAAGGCTGAGAGGGGAGCAGAACCCACCCCTTCCCCAGGCCTTGGTTTCTTGCCATAAGGTCTTGGTGATTTCATTTCACACCCAGGTCTGGTTTTGCCCTCCCAGAATATCCCGTCCTATAAAGGAGGATGCTGAGGCACAGGGAGGTCACCTGACTTGAGCCAAGGAGTCTGGCTCTGGGCCCATGCTCCATCATCACTGCCGTGTATTCTGCAAGAAGTGAGGAGGCCTGGAGGAGGCTCTCCTCCTCCCTGTACCAGCGTCTCTGCCTCCCCTGCTGCACTCCGGGTGGGCCACGTCCACTCGCGAGCCTGTGCAGAGTGTTCAGACCTGCTCCTGGAGCTGGGCCTTGCCGGGCTGTGTGGGGTCCACAAGGCACCGCACTCCAAAGCCATCTCGCAGGGAAATTCTGATTCTCAGAGCCAGCCCATGGGACAGTGATGGCATCTGATCTCAGAGAAGTAGACAATAGCATTAGAGGTGAGACATATGGGTGACGTGATTACAGGGGGTGTTAGTTCTTTTGTTTTCAAGACTAATGCAATGTGTGAATTCAGTTATAAGACCTTTTCTATTGAAAAAAATGAGGACCTTGGGACAAAGAAATAAAATTTAGCTAGTAGTACAGTTGGTACAATAAAAGATGTGTTCAAAGCAAATTTGGTGTCTACTTCCTCGTAACCAAGGCAGAGTGGAAAATATCACTGACTACAGAATTCTCAGCATCCACAAACCCGTCACTTGTTCAGAAGCAGCTGAACTTTTCCTAGTTTGGAAGACTCACCAAGGGATGATTAGAGTCTGTGTGTTCATCATGTGAGTCCGAGACCAGGGTGATGTCAGGAGCTTCTGTGTGGGCCCAGTTTTATCAGGACACCCCTCTGCTCTTTGTAAAGGAGTCAAGTATGGGTTTTACCTATTTGAGCCAGTAGTGAATCAGTAAATGTGTAGATCAAAGGAATTACACCGATGAAGAGTGAAATACGCCATGATTCACTGTGAGTGCCATGGCGCCGTGGCTAGAGGCTCGTGGCGCTGTTGAGAGCAGATGCCTCCGATTTGCTCTCCGTGTGTCTCACTAGTTCTGCAAGCTATCTCCTCCCCTGGGTCTGAGAACTTGGCAGGGCAGTTGGGAAAAGCCAAGTGAACCTCTTCCTGAGAGCCATTGTATAAGCAGATACAGAACCCTTCAGTAACGGTGTCTGATCAGTTTGTGCTTCATTCACTGCCAACGTGGATGTGCCCAGCATGGTCTCCAGAGCAACTCCATGCCACCTGCCTGTTCTGCAGCCCCCACCAGCCCACGAGAGCTTGCTGAGGGCACCAGAGGCAAAGGAGTCCTTCCTTAGGGCTTCACCCACATCTGGAGGAGGCGGAGGGAGAGAAACCTATTCAGTGGTGCCAGTGTATTTGGCTTCTCTGCTGGTGCTTGAGAGCTCGATCTCTAGAAGGGGTTAATAGCTTTTCTAAAAGGGATTTCTGACAGATGGACTATTCAGTTCTGCTGTTTTATTTGTACACAAAGTTAGAAATGGAAGTGAGAACAGCCGTCACTGCCTGTCACTGGCCAGCTGCTCTCAGGCAGGCCACCATCAGCATACTGAGGACGTGCACTGCGGCCAGCTCTCCGCCTGGCCCCGATGGCTGCCTTGCTCAGTGTCTGCTCCCCACAGAGAGCAAGCTGACTGTGGCTTGAGAAGAGAGGAGGGGAACGACTGGCACCTGGAGAGAAGTGGAGCAGGCTCGAGGGCCTCGCTTGGAGGCTCACGCCTGACACCATGTGAGCTTGCCCTTGAGCACATGAGGTGATGGTCACCTGCAGGAGAAGCTCTTGCACCCCTGAAGGAATGGAACAGCCCTTGTTATCAGGGCTTGCAGGATTTATGTCCCGACTGCTCACAGTGGACATTTGCCCTCCAGAAGCCCCTCAATTGTACCCTGCACATCACAAGCCAGGACTTGGGAATGGCCAGCAGCCACCTGGCACCTGCACCTGGCACAAGTCTGGCTGCATCACAGTGAGCTCAAGGCATGTGAAGCCCAGGGAAGCAGGCCCTTGACATGGTAACAAGGCCTGACATGCTGCACGCTTTGCCCTGTTTCCTCAGCACTGTGTACTCTTTCCTTCTAGACGTGTCTTCAAGGTACAAAGGCTCCAGAGGACGCTGCCCCACAGGCAGTGATTGGGAGGGTGTCCTGAAGCCCTGCAAACAGTGAGAACTTCCACATCCAGCCCTGCCTTGCTGGCTGCGGGGCCAGCTGCTCCGCCTGGATCAGCCCGGCCTCTTTGGCCTGAGTAGTATTGCTCACAACCCCTGGGCTTTGAGTCAGGGCTCAGCACAGTGCTGGCACCTGGCGAGTACTTAACACTCCTTGTGTGCCCTGCAGCAGCTCCAAGAAACACATCCCTTTGGAAAGCCTCTTTACTGAAATGTCTCCTGGGATGTGGTGGTGAGGAGGGGAGAGCCCTGGACTTCCTGGAGATCCAGGACAGAGCTGACCTACCCTTTAGTCTGGACTGTAGAGGGTCAGTGAATCCTCAGATCCCTGAGTTAGTTCCACCTCTCAGACATCTGTACTGATGCCTCACATAAGTCCTGTCCCAGCGCACCACACAACACATGTCAGTCACCCCAGGGACAGGTGTGAAGGGTCCTTCCTCTCAGCCTCTGGAGAACTGTGGCCCCAGACTAATGGGGTCTGTCTCCAGTTAGGGCACCTGCTCCACCACCTTTCCAGGTGACTGCGTAGAACTCAAACAAGGCTTTGGGTCCTTTAAATCTGAATAGGGTACAAATTGCCTTTTTAAATCCTGTTGTGAACAAGACAGTCAGCTGGGATGGTTCAAGGCATTCATATGGTTTTGTCCTTGGACAAAACCACCTGATGTTCATTCCTCCCCACCCCCCAGTGGGTGGCTGGGGGCTGTCTGCACGGCCGGGCTGCAGCCTGTCCCTCCCAGGCAGCCCAGGACAAGCCAGTGCTAGGCACTGAGGTGTGGCCCATCAGACCCTCC